GTTTGTGGGGTGCTGTGGGTGTGTGGGCTGTGGGGAAGGGTGTGGCTGTGTCTGTACAGGGTGGATATGTGTGGGGGTGTGGGGTGAGGGAGCATGTGGGGGTGTGTGTGGATATGTGGGGTGTGGGTGAGTTTGGGGTTTGTGGAGGACCCTGTGTGGGGGGGGGAGGGTATCTGGGGTGTGTGAGGGGGTTTGGGTGTGGAGGTCTGCATATATTGCAGTGTGAGGGGGGTCTGTGTGCATGTGTATGGTGTATAGTACATGTGGGACTCACCCTATGAACACACACACACACACACACACACACACTCACACACACACACACACACACTGGGGTACTGGTGCAGGCCCTGTGCTCCCTGGTCTGGCGATGTAGCCGGAAGCCATGTGGTGCAGGAGCAGTGCAGGGGTAGAAAGGCAGGGAAATGGCTGGGGGTGGAATGGGGCTGGGCTTCTGTGTCCTGCTGATGATTCCCCCTGGGTCCTATTGCCCCTAGCTCCTGCTAACTTTGACAGGCAGCCAGGAGCAGATAAATATTTTCTAAATTTTTTAGGGGTCCCACAGGCCACATAGAATGGTCTGATGGGCTGGATACGACCCATGGGCCATATTTTGCCCCCCCCTGCCTTAACCAAGTCTCAAATAGCCACAGAGAGATGCCCCAGGGCAAACTTCCTTGTTGCATTTCCAGATTTGGAGCATACTTGAGGCAGTAGATTCGGCAGACCATGCTCAACAATGACCTAGACAGAACATATTACCACCTCAGTGTAGGCATACTCTAATTTCACTAAGCATAGGCTGCTGAAGGGAAGAAACAAGAGTCCAGTCTCCAGGCTGACTTGCAGGGTAAGAAATAGTTGGCATATATGAGGCAGTGTACCCAGATTCAACTCTAAGAATGGGAGGATTATAAAATTCTAATGCTGAGACAGGTAAGGGCTTGACGCTTAACACTTGAAGGGGTAAAGTCCAAGAGACCCAAAAGAGACAGAAGAGCAATCTACCCTATAACTGTGAGATTTCCTGTATAAGAATTCAGTTAAAAAATACTTAGTTGGATAACATAATGGTAGCAAAAATAAATTGAAATATGCTAGTTCTGCAGCAAATTGCACTATATACTTGTTAAAACTCCTGTTAGACCAAATAGTCCCTGATACAACTCTAGATTAGCAAATTTATTTCATGGCTGAATTTGCTTCATTCACTTTGGGTTTGCTCCACGCTTTTAGGTAAGTAGAAATCATGTCATAAGCCATATTTTTCTTAGTAAGAAAAAGAAAAGTGCTCTTGTTTTAGAAATGTTAATTTGTTTACCTATTGCAGTCTCATTGATTCTTCTTGCCCATTACCTAGCATATTGCAAACAAGTTATTCCAGTTGCTTTTTCCAGACTTCTTGTACTGATTTTGTCTTCTTTTTTTCTCATAGGTACAAATTGGGTAGGCCAAATTATAACTGACTTGGTAACAACATGTGCAAAGACTAATGAGGATGAAACAAATAGTGTGAATGATGAACTAGATGAATTTCCCTACCTGGAAGTTGGAGATGCTGAGAAATACCAGGTGGGCACTAAATGCTTACTGATATTGCTAATTACTGTCGTAGATAATATTGGGTGCATCTACATGTACATTAATATTCCGTAATTACAGAGCATTAAGTTTAGTACCTGTAAAAACAGATACTAAATGAGCAGTAATCAGCACTACTGTGCAGTAGAACCAGTGCAAGTCTTTAGGTGTTGCTAATGTGCAGTAGATTCATTCTAATAGCACGGCTTTTGCCATGACGCACTAATGTGCAGTTGAATTAGTCTACTGTGCTGTTAGTGTCTCATGTAGACATACTAACTGTGTATGAAATATGCATTGCAGAGAATGAACTGTGCCTGACTTGCAGGGTAGTCATCTACCAGTAGTGTAAGGGATGGTTAAGTCAGATACCAGGCCCAGGCTCCTACTTAGAGGAGTGCAGGTTTGGCTGTTGCCACCACTCTTGGCTTGGCACCCTCTTACCAGGGCACAGAAACTGCTTGTTACACCTCTGCTACCCACAATGATTGCTTTGTTCACAATAAATTCTGAACATACTGACAAAACTGATGGAAAAGGTAGATAAATTAATTGAGCAGAGTACAAATTCTTAACAGCTACATGAGACTTGTCAGCACTAAATAAACAAGTTTTTCTATGTGGTGTAAGAAAGCGGCTAATGCAAAATCAAATACAGGGAATAAATAACAGGACAAAAAAATTCCCCACCTGAGTGTTTAATCCCCAGTCTAATACCTGGAGCACTGAAACCAAAATATTTCAATCTTTCAACCCATTATTGTTTTCCCCTCTGAAATTATGTTTATGAGCCATATTTTCCTTCATATATTTTTTTCCTTTACTGAACTCTACAGCTATGAAAACTTTTTTTCTTTTTTTTTTAATCCATGAATGAGAGAGAGCATGTACAGGACTAGTACAAAAGTTCACATACTACTTTGCCAATGTGCCTTGGTCCTGTGCCAGCAGGGCCAGGTGTAGAGCTGAGTAAGTAGCATCATCCCATGTCTAGCCAGCCCTTGCTCAGACTCTGCACAAGGCCACTTGTTACTGATGGATCCTGTTCAAAGGTTTCTGTCAAGCTGAATCAGAATTCTGATGTTGGTCATGAACTTGGATCTGGGGGAGCATCTGTTCACCAAAGCACCCCAAGGGATGACAAGGTCGAACGGTCACAAACTCCTCCATGACCATTTCAGGCTGGACATAAGGAAGAACTTCTTTACCGTCTAAGCCCCCAGGGTTTGGAATAGATTGCCGCTGGAGGTGGTTCAAGCACCTACTTTGAACACCTTCAAGAGACATCTGGATGTTTATCTTGCTGGGATCCTATGATCCCTGCTAACTTCCTGCCCCTGGGGCAGGAGGCTGGACTCGATGATCCTCCAAGGTCCCTTCCAGCCCGAATGTCTATGAAATCTATGAAACTTTTTGGGATGTTCCTCTTCTCTTCGTTACTCTCTTCTTCATGTACCATCATTCTACCAATCCAGTCAGAACCTTTCCTCTTCTTCTAATTCCCAGTTCCCTCTATTTTAGTATCAATAATCTTCCCCTTCCTTATAGCTTCCCTTGTTGACCTAATTGGGATTGCCTAGCTTGTTGTCTTTCCCAGTTAGATTCTGCTTCCTACTTTTAGCTTTGATTATTTCTTTTGGGGTAAGGATGAACTCAGACTTTATGTACTCTGCATTGGATACCAATTCTCTTTCCAGATCTTCACACTTATGTTGGGGGTGGAGGGGAGGTGCTATAGTTTAGAGACACTCAAATATGTAATCCTCTTTTTGGTCACAGAAAAAACCCATAAAACTTAAAAGCTATGAAAATGGATACCGGCCCATCATAATTTTCTACACATACACCAGCAAAAGGCATAGGTAGGGCTACCAGTAGGTAATATTCACTAAGTAGAGTTTCTGCTTTCCTTCTTTTTTTTCATTTTTATTAAAGCGGATGAAGAAATTACCTTCTAGAAGAATTATATTTACTCATCTCATGCCTCACAATCTACCTGAGTCAATCTTCAAGAATAAAACTAAGGTGAGTTTTTATTTGATATCATGAAGGCATACTCATTTGAACAGAACTTTCAAGCCACTTTTAATTTCTGTTGCCACATATACAGTCTCCATAATAGGTACAAAGTGCTCAGCTCAACCACTTCAGTGCCTGGTCTTTGTTCACAGGGCAGCTACTTCATATGACACCAAACTACAATGAACAGCAGTTAAGAGAAATGAGATAAATCAAGAAAAGAGAAATTATTCTGTGATAAAGTGCATAATTACACAGATTCCTGTGGGTGGCATCTCATTTTGGTATTTCAAGTAGGGTTTCAAAGATGGGTGAAGCTTAAGGGTGCCCCACTTTTTTTTCTAGCCTGTCTCTTGATTTTGCCTCTTTTATAATTTAATATGGTCTCTTTAAATAGAAGCATTTACTCACCATAAAGGGTAGAAACACACAGGTGACAAAGTTCACAGAGGCTGCATCTACACATACGCTTACCTGTGGAGTGGACTAATTAGCTGTGGAGTAAAGTGTCACCGTCTCTTGCAACACTATTAGGCTGCAGTAAACTAATTAACACTGCGATAAGATAGTACTGTCAGAGACAGTACTAGCTTACAGCAGGGTAATTCACTGTGATTAAATGCATGTACAGACACTGACTTCGTAAACTGCCTCCAATCAGCCCAGCCAGCATGGGGCCAGATTCCTGCCTGCTGCCTAGCCACATGGCTCTGCACTTTCAGCACCTTTGTGCCCTAGCTAGTCCCTCCATCACCCAACTGCCATCCGGAGCCTGGGGCTGACCCCTCATGCCCCCAGCTTTGGCATAAACTGCTTTTCCTTGGCTCCAATTGCTACTGTCTCGGGTGCACGTTTCGGGCTGCACCCATGAGTAGTTTACTCTGGCTCAAACTGCTCTGAAGTTTATTGCTTCAAATTTATTGCATGTGTAGATGCACCCAGAATGTGTATAATTAATTTGGATTATCTCAATCACATTTCAGAGAAAGTAAGCAAAACATACAGGGTGCAGCTAAATGAGACACTGTGCTGCCATAGTAGTGAGTGTAGCTCATTGCTACAGTGACATAGCATCACCAGGCATGAGCTGTGTTGGCAATGCTACTGTGTGGTAGTAATGACCTATTGCACAGTAGCTTGTTGCTACTGCACACTAGCTGCTAAAAATAACTGTGTGACAATGGGACTGTACAGTAATGCTGGTTACTGGGCAGTTATTTAGTACTTGGTTAACCAAATATTAAATGACTAGGCAGTAACAACTGCACAGTTGGCTGCTCATGTAGATGTGACCACTGAGTGGCAGTGAAAGAATAGCTTTCTCCCCATATAAGATTGAACTGTTACTTCTATGCCTAAGATATGTATGAGATCCAAGAAATCACCAATATTGTAGTTAACCTGAAAAATATCCTATTTCCTTTAGTGCAATTTTGTTATATCTAGTTCTAGAAATATATTTATTCATACACTTTAATTTTTTAGGTCTTGCTGCTGCTTCGCAATCCAAAAGATGTAGCTACCTCTTATTACCATTTTTCCAATGGCTTGTCTCCTCTTCCATCCTATGAGACCTGGGATGAATTCTTCACAGCTTTCATGACAGGAAAAAGTATAGTTCTTTTCTTTCTACTAATGTCAGTAATGTAATAGGTAGACTGTGTATGGAAACATGGATTTTATTAGACATTTCCACAATGATATTTTCATTATAACATAAAATTACAGACACTTTTTCAAAATATTAGGTGTGATGTATTAACATGTGATCTGTGGCAGAAGGTGTTTTAAGCACGAGCAATTGTAGCAAGCTTGGAGATATGTTAGAACTTTGGTTCTGAAAAAAAAATCATTCAAATGCTGATAGTCCTGAAATGTGTATCCCTCTACCCCTGGGAGAGCAAAAAAGGTTTCCTACAACAGGCTCAGAAATAAGCCTAGAGCTCCACAGAACAAAGATTAATGGGTTATACTCTCATATGGATATGTATATATATATAGAAGTGTGTAGGAGAAATGAGGATACAGTAATGTGGAAAAATCTTTTTGTGGGATGATGCACTGAAATGAGCTCGGCCAGATACTTAGATTTCTATGCTGATTACACCAGTTAACTGTGCAGTGAAGACATTAACTTAGGGTAGAATTTGCTTGTTTAACAACCTTCCTGGTTGTTTAGCTGCCAAAAAATGTCACTTATGCACAGGTTGGAATTCTATACAGGTTTCACATAGCCCTGTGCACATGGAAGACTATGCACGGCTACTTAGTCATACAGACCGGGCATGCACAGTAGTAGGCAAAGCCTTTATAACCCTAGCACAATCCAGAATTCATAAGAAAGTATACACTGATGACCTTGGCTTCTGGACCTCTGATAGCTTTCTATGACCAAGGCAGGTTTCAACTCTGTCTGTTCTCTGGTGAATATAGTTTTAAAGCAGACACTTCAAAGACTGTACTGGACAGAAGATAATCTAAAGCTATCACAGCAAGTATTAATTTTAATGAACAGACCTAATCCTCGCCTGTTTTTCTCTTATAATTAATTTCATAATCTTTTTATTCTGTGGTTTCCTCTAGTGCCCTGGGGCTTCTATTTTGACTATATTTTTGAATGGAACAGACATATTGATGATGAAAACATTATGACAATAACCTACGAGGAGCTGAAAGAGGTGAGTTTCTATTGTTTAAAGAATATTGTATTCTCCAAGCAGCATTGGTGACTAAAGTAGTGTTTAGATTATAATTATATATGCATGTCAGTCAAATGAACACTGAAGCAATATACCATAAAATATGAATTCCAGTTGGGCAAGAATATTTAGATTTTAATTTTTTTTTGCCAAAATGTCATTGAGCAAAATGAACTAATTATTTTTCAAAGGTTTTGTTAGAAATGTCCTTATTGTCTGAAAAGTTCTGTAGTTCACATGAATCTTTGTGAGGTCCAATTCCATAACACTTCCTTATGGAACTCCATATGCATTCTACAGTATATATAAAAATAAATTGCAATTCATTTCTTTTGTGACTTCATTGATATAGATCTGGATTTTGCTAGCTTTACTCACAGTGGATGCAATTCACTTTTATGAAGAGAACTAGGACTGGTAATCACTCCTTAAGTGTAATGTGTAGAGGGGGCCTATATGTTCTTCATGAAAACAGGGCCACCAAGGATAAATTGAAAGTGGAAATACCATGATTAATCAGAACGATACATTTTGTATGAATAAAATTCATTGTGTTACCTTCCCTTTTTCAGAATCGGGCTATGGGTGTCAAAAAGATAGCTGAATTCTTTGGGCTGTCTCTGACTGAAGAGGAGCTTCAAGATGTGGTAGATAGGAGCAGCTTCCAGGCTATGAAAGACAATTCTGAGAAAACGCATGGAGCATTTGGCAATGTTCTCTTCCGCAAAGGTGATTATCTAAAAAGCTCCAGAGACACGAGAATCAATCTTCCAGTAGTTTTGGCAAACCATTCCCAGATTCTCTTTTTAGATTTAATGTTGGAATTCATTATCATTTGTATATGTCAGTGGCTGCATCTACACATGCAATTAGCATGGCTGTATAAACTCCAGGGTACAACATTTACACGTGTGCCCAAGACCACATCAGGTTGAGCTGGAGCAATAAAGCCCAAGCTGACAGAGGACCTAGGTAGTCAGCCTGCCAGCCTGGAGCTGCTCCACCCCAGCAAAATGTGTTGTGGAGGGGCTGGCTGGGGCATGACGATGTTACAGTGTGGAGTTAGCGAGCAGGTAGCCCCTGCACTGTAGCACCCTCATGCCCCCAGTCAGCTCTGGTCACTGTCTACACATGCATTGCTGTGCATCAAATAATTCCACTGTAGGATAGTACTTGTGTTTGCCAATACTATCCTATGGTGGAGTTTATTAGTTTACTCTGGAATAATAGCATTGCACATGTAGATGTTGATGCTTTATTGTGGAGCTAATTAGTCAATTCCACAGTAAAGTACATGTGTAGATGTCCCCAGTATTTGTAAGTTTTATTATTGGAGTGATTTTAAAATGAAGTCAAGAATCAAGACCCTAATGTGCTAGGCAATGTATTAAAAAAGAATAAAAGAAGGTTCCTGACACAATTAGCTTACAATCTAGGTATAAGACAAAAGAAAACAGATGAATACAGCTAGGATGAGGAGCACTATGAGACAATGAGACCATACTGGTAAGTATGACAGGCAGTGGCCTCAGCATGCCAGTGCTTTATCCATTGTCAGATTTTCTGTAGGAGTGTTTTAAGGAGTGATTTGAAGAAGATAATGAGGAAACATTACAATATGCTCAGGGAGCATTCCATATGCTCAGGGAGCGCCTCCCAAGCATATGGAATAACATGGAGGAAAGCACAAAAGTTCTTGACTAAAAAACAAATGGACAATGGAAGCTGAAGTCATTGGTCATATGAAGGTGGGAGTTGACCACTTAGTACTGACTGAGAGATGGAGTGGGGATAGTCTGTTAAGCTGAAAAAGCCTTGGAAATGGAAAGCAGCAGATTATGGCCAAAGTGATGATTACAGGGATCTAAGTTTTCTGTTCACTATGGGAAAATGTGGGAAAATGCAGATTTTTTTTTTTTTAAGGAGAAAAATGCACATTTTCCACTTTGTCCTGCCATGCCCCTTTTCCCACCCACTGCTCTGTAAAAGGCTCCAGAGGGAGGAGGGCAACAGGGCAGGGAGCCCTGAGCTTGCAATAGGCAGCCCGTATTTGCCCCTTCCCCATGATCTCCACTCCAGCTGTGCCACCTGTGTGAGAGGGGGAGCTGGACTCCACGGTCTGCTCTGGCTGCAGCAGGTGGCAGCTGGGGCTGGGGTGATGCTGGGGCAGGGTGGGGAGGTCAAGGAGCTGTGGACTTGGGCTCCTGGCCTTGTAGCCCTGGGAGTTGGGGGGCCCCTCTGGCAGGGTTGGGGGCAAAGGGCTCTTGGTTAGGAGTGAGAGACACTGGCAGGGCAAGGGGGCTGTGGGTGGGAAGTGAGGGGCACCAGCAAGGCTGGGGGGTGGGGAGGGCAGCGTAGGTTGAGAGTGAATCACAGAATCAAAGGAATGAACGGCTGGAAGGGACTTTGAAAGATCATCCAGTTCAACCTCCCTGCTCTGGATAGGAATACTGCTGATATCAAATGATCCCAGAAAGGTATCTGTCCTGTCTCCTCTTGAAGTCTTCCAAGGTTGGGGACTGCATCACCTCATTGGGAAGTCTATTTCAGATTCTGGTCACCTTTACCATAAAGAAGTTCTTCCTTATATCCAACCTGAAAGCATCCTCTACTAGTTTATGGCCTTTGTTCCTTATCTTCCCCTGGGGTGCCCTAGTGAACAGTTTTTCTCTCAGCTCCCAATATTCACCCATTACATACTTATAGATGGCCACCAAGTCCTTCCTCAGTCTTGTCCTCCCCAGGCTGAACAGTCCCATGTCCCTTAGTTTTTCCTCATAAGCTTTGTCTTCCAGGCCCTAAATCATTCTTGTGGCCCCTCTCTGGACCCTTTCAAGATTTTACACATCTTTTTTGAAGTGCAGTGCCCAGAGCTGGACCCAGCACTCCAGCTGGGGTCTCAGCAGTGCCAAGTAGAGAGAAAGTGTCACTTCCTTAGCCCTGCTCATGATGCATCAGCTAATGCATCCCAGTATGCTATTAGCTCTGTGGACTACAGCATTATCCTGGTTGTTCATGTTCATCCTGTGATCAACCATAACACCATAGTCCCTTTCTGTCATTGTGCTGGCCAGGGAATGCCTCCTAACCTATATTCATGTTCCTGGTTACTTCTTCTGAGATGTGCATTTATCTTTATTGAATTGCATCTGGTTCCACTCTGCCCACCTTTCCAGATTGTCCAGGTCCACTTGGATCTGTATCCTATCCCCTAGTGTGACTGCTTTCCCCCATAACTTGGTATCATCCACAAACTTGGCCAGCATGATTTCTACATCTTCATCTAAATTGTTGATAAAAATGTTGAACAGCACGGGGCCAAGAAGAAGGACACCACTGGCCACCTCCTGCCAAGATGATACAGACCTGTCCACTAACAATCTCTGAGTTTGACCCCTTAGCCAGTTCCCAACCCACCTGACTGTGGGGTCTGCCAGCCCACAATCCCCCAGTTTTTTTATGTGTGTCATGGGAGACCGTATTGAAGGCCTTTTTAAAATCTGAGTATATGACATCAACCATGTCTCCCAAATCTAAGTGGTTCATTACTTGATCATAGAAGGAGATGAGGTTGGTCAGACATGACCTGCCTACAGCAAAACCATGTTTGCTATCCTTCAGTATCATGCCTTCTGCCAGAGAAAGGGGCACTGGTGGAGGTGGGATGCTGTGGGTCGGGAGTGAGGGGCAATGGCATGGGCTGCTCAGCACACACAGCAATGGGGAGGGAAGCTGCAGCTGGACTCGCATCCTGATGAGCGAGGGGAGCAGGTAGAGCCGTGATTTTCCATGATAAAAACCCAAAATCACACACCAAAATTTATAGAATTTATTTTATTATAGTGACTGAGGAACTGGTAGACTTCCAAAATGTTTTAAAATTGCAAATATATCAATAAAACATTATGTTCAAACATTGTGTTTCATTTTAGTCACAGAAAAACATAGATTAAGGGGTTTTTAATCAGAAAATTTGCAAAAAGAAAATTATTGGAGAATTTGTGATTTTTAAACAGAGGAAACCAGGATCCCTGGTGATGAGCAGGGAAAATGCTCTTTTGTAGCATCATTCAGGATAGGCAAAATTGTTTCGGTCTGGGTCTGTGGCAGTAATTCATATATGAGATGTTGCGAGTTTAAATGGGAGTTTTAGCTGTGTGCATGCCTAGGAGAAACAGTATCTCTGAGATGCTGGGCCAGCTTCTATTTTACTGCTTACACATGTAAGTGAATTTAGGCACCTAAGTGGGATTCGGTTCCATCCTGCTCGAGTCCCTGAGAAACAGTTAAAGGTGGGTCCTCCTCTTCCTCCTTGTGTTGAGTTTTGTGACTTAATCTTAAGGGTAAAAATGATGGTGTGTTACAGAAGTAGATGTAATTATTTCTTAGTCTTAGGGACAGGCTAGACACGTAACCGTATGGAATGGTTTAGATAAGGGTATTTCTTCCTTGAGCAGAGTGTTGGATTAGATGACCTCTGAAGATTAATTTTAGCCCTTTTTATGATTCCATGATCCTATAAAGCACTTTTTGTATTTTAAGTTGACTAAATACTTTGGGGCCTTTCCCCCCACACTATTGCCATTGTTGCAGTCTCATGAACTCATGAAATTTACTTCAGTAGAATTGCACTAGTGTAAAATTTTATCCAGTCTCTTGCTTTAAAAAAAACCCAATAACAACACTCCAGTTGGTGTGAAAAGAGATAAAAATGAACTTGAAAGGAATAAGAAGTTTTAAGTTATCCTTTTCATGGCATTCTGTGCATGTTTGATATGATAATATCCACATTGCATTTGTAGGTGGTGTTAGTGACTGGAAGAACTTGTTCAATGAAGATCAGAACCAAGAAATGGACAACAAATTTGAAGAATACTTAGCAGGAACCAAGCTGGGAGCAAAGTTAAATTATGGGGTTCACTGCAAGGCCTGAGTATCAGTTACATAATGTATAGGGAAAAAGTGGATCAAGTGATCCACATATCTCTGATTTTTTGTAATATTCACAGTCAGGTTACCCTTCAAGTGATATTAGCGCATAAGAGATATTCAATATAATTTAAAGTCCTTTAGCATCCTTGGACTGAATCTATCTACTGAACAATATTAATATTATATAATTGCTGTAGTACCAATCTCTGGAGGAAATACTCCATGACACTGAATGCTATTAATCTTGCTATCCTGATTAAAAGAATGTAGCACTTAGAGATTATTTTTAAAAATATCTCATACCAAACAACATCTCCACAAAAAGACTTCTAGCAAAAAAGTCCCTCATTGAACAGTCATTCAAGTAAATGAAAATCTTTCCTACAATTTCAGTGGGTCCTGGATCAACCCCCTAGTAGACAGTGCTCAGACAGAAAGAGAGCGAGAGGGAGAGCGAGAGAGAGAGTAATAGAGTAGTCATAATGTTTTCTTAAATTATAATATTTTCTTTTATTTAAAAAAATAGAATCTCAACTTGGCCTAGGGAAATTTACTGCTGGTATATGGCCAAATTCTATGTTGATGCAAATGGACAATAGTCCACTAAAATAAAAGGATTTCCATTAACTTACACCCACAAACACTTGGCTCTTAGTATCTCAAGTACATAAACTTGATTCTCCTCTTTTTTAAACATATATATATATATATATATTGGTGTAAATGGGATGTTGCTTCATTGAAGTCAATGGCATTACACCAGAATAAAATCAGGGTAAAGCAGAATCAAATCTTGT